AGAGCCTGGTCGGCCCCCCAGCACCCAGATTTCGCCGGAATTCAAGCGTCTCCGGCCGACAATGCATGACAATAAAGTAGTCTTCCCGCAACCACTCGCACCAAGTAATCCATAACTGAATAATAAAACGTTTATTAGAATCATAACAATATCATAAAACAAAAATTATTACATAAAATTTTTCTAATATATATATATATATATATATATATATATTTTATACATAATTTAAAATACATATATGTATATTGAATTTAAATTTTTGTAAAATAGCTATTCCCGTGGCAACGCTGGGACATAATCCGCAAAGTGCCACTGTGACGTCAACTACGACAGGGACAAACGCGCAAAGATTCACAGTGGGGAACGCTAGCCTCAGAGATGGCATTCAACGATTAACGACGCAGACCGTCACGGTTAAGCAAGGCGATTCCGTCCAGAGAATAGCGGTGCCTGGTTTTGCACAGTTAGTTCAAACCTCTACCGGCAGACATATCCTTTTGACGTCGAATCAACAGAATACTAACACAGGTTTGTCATCGCGATTCGCGTATTCTTGCTAAACCATTGTTTGCAATAATCAACGGATAAAAGAGAAAAAGAAGAATAATACGTTTTGTATCGACAGTTTCGTTTCCAGTCATGACCTCCAGTGGTTCGCGTCTCGCTGTATTGTCTAAATCATTGATGGGTTTGTCCACCTCGGCCGCCACGACAGTGAACAAAGTCGTCGGCGGTGTGGTGACAACGCCGAGTGGCCGACCCGTTATGAGAGTACCTCCTCTGAACGTCACCGCTTCGCAGTCACCATCGGGCGGAAATAGCCAACAGCAATCCATTCAACAACAATCGCCATCGATACGTAGCATCGTCACCAGACAAGCTCAGAAGGAAACCAGTAAGGCACAGAGTAAATCCGAACAACCCAAATCCGAATTTCACTTGGTAAGTTAACAGATGTCTTTAAAATATTGATTCTTTGTCAGGGTAATTATAAAATAGAGAATCAGTAGTTTAACTTTCGAATACTCACATTAAGTCAATTTTATCCAAATAATTTTTGTTTAATTTTTTTCCTGCAAAGAATATAAAATTTTTATTTAATAGATAGAAATATCCTTAATTATTCCTCGTTAAATGCTCTGATATCTAGATAATAGAGACTTTAATATTATTGATCGCTTTACAGCCGCAGCTGGAGGAGGAAAGACGGCAGAGAAGACAGGCCAAATTGTGCCTCACGGCAGACATCAATCAGCGAAGATGTGCGGCGTGTCCGCTTTACGGTGAAGATGTTTTCATGGCTTTAAGAATTGGCAAGCCTACGACGGCTTGTCGCTGGCACAACGGTTGGGTGCACTGTACGACGGCCAAGGAAAACATTCGTACTCGCAAGCAGTTCTTTTCACGGACGGAGGCGCTCGCTGAAGCCATCAAGAGTACAGAGCAGATTGTTGAAGAGCTAAAAGAAGTCTTTGAAAGGTTGATATACGAGATATAATACATAAATTAAATAATATTATTGACGAATCACAATTCTTCAGGTCCATATCAATATTCATCAGATTTTTTTTTATTAATGTCGGATTGATGTTTTTGTGTATATAGCAAAAACTTAATTATATATCTTTTTGAATTTTCATTATTAAATGTTCAGCTACTTAAATCTCGCGAACTAAATTTCTGTCAACGGCCACTTGAAATTAATCGCTGAATACAATTTTATGTGTATTTATTTTACATTATTTTACGTCTATAGTTATTGATGTAAAATAACGTAAAATAAATAGTATATTGTTTCTGAAATAAGATAAATTTTCTCGATATATCCGTAGATTTGTAGTCCACGTACCGGCTGTGCGCGCGCCGACGCCTCGATTCCATGTGTCTCATCCACCACCTCACAAATTGTGGGACGAACGTCAACTGCGGACTGAACTGCAAAGACAACTATCACCAAAATCGGCAGTGTTTCATCCGATCTCGAGTCTCATGCTCACGCAATTCCCTGATCCCAGACTTATCCAATATGATTGTGGCAAGTTACAATCGTTGGATCGTCTGTTGAGGAAGCTGAAGATCGAAAATCATCGGGTTTTAATATTTACACAAATGACTAGGATGTTGGATGTGCTGGAAGCTTTTCTGAATTTCCACGGACACATATATCTACGATTGGACGGCACCACTAGGGTGGATCAACGTCAGGTAGTGATCAATATGTTATATCATTAACGAGATGCTATAATAATAGTGATGCGTACGCGTGACATCTAAATTTTTCAAATGCTGATTTTAATTAGGATTTTAAGTATGAATAGTGGCTACTGAGAACATATTAATCTTTCGTATAAATTTTAAAAGGAAATATATATTTTATATATAATAAAGATGATAATTAAACATATAACAAAAGCATATGAAATTTTATTTGTATGCGATATGTTCTTATTGCAATGTTAGAAAAAAATAGTGGATGGAATTGCTAACGACGCTAATGACTTGACACACAGATTCTGATGGAGAGATTCAACGGTGATAAGCGAATTTTTTGCTTTATTCTGTCAACGAGATCTGGCGGTGTTGGCGTGAATCTTACGGGAGCGGACACAGTAATATTTTACGACAGCGACTGGAATCCCACGATGGACGCTCAAGCGCAGGATAGATGCCACAGGATCGGACAAACACGGGATGTACATATCTACAGGTATACATGCGAATTAATACCAATAATGAAGAAATAATATTAATAATTCACAATAATTTGTATTGACGTAATAATATATGTATATTTGATTGTGTATTATTAGTATTATTTAATATAATTAACCATTAGAATAAAAGTTTAGAAACCAAAAAAAAAAAAGAAATTTTTAATCCTAATTAACAATGTGATGGCAAATATAGATAACAATTTATATTTCAGATTAGTCAGTGAGAAGACTGTAGAAGAGAATATCCTAAAGAAGGCGAATCAGAAGAGGTTGTTAGGCGATCTCGCAATTGAAGGCGGAAACTTCACTACGGCATACTTTAAAAGCGTAAGTACTTCAATAAAAATTTGTGTCGCACGAATTATATTGTTTCTTCGTATTATTAATCAGAAAACTTTTCAATTTCAATATTTTCAGAAGAAAACGCGAAATAATTTTTTAAGGCAATTTATATTTATTTATTATAAAAGTTTAAAACTTTTTTGAATCACAATATTACTTAAATTTAAAAAAAATAAAATAAAATTTATGAAAATTTCAGATTAATATACATTCGTGAAATATTTTGTTCATCAATGTTGTTGAAGGCGTTATATTTCGACTACATAAAAACTAAATACTTGCGTTCGCCATTTATCTTTCGTATAATAATAAAATTATTTTCAGTCCACTATTCAAGATCTATTCAACATCGATCAAACGGAGAACGATGCATCGATGCGAATGGCCGAGGTGCTGGAGCAGAATCGGGAACGAGAAAAAGCTTGGAGCAAGGAACCGACAGCAGGATCGTTTCAGGGCGGCATCTCGAATCATACGGAGGAGAAAGCGGCGATGGGTGCTCTCGAGAACGCTCTTGCCGCTGCTGAGGAGGATCTTGATGTTCAAGCCGCGAGAACTGCGAAAGCGGAAGCCGTTGCCGATCTTGCCGAATTCGACGAGAACATTCCGCTAGAGGACGCCGACAAAGACGAGACGCAGGTCAGCAAGGCGGAACAGGAAGTTCGAAATCTGGTTGCTCAGGTAGGAGAAACGTTTCTCGTCGATTCGCTGGATTAGGCGAGTCGCTTTCATTTTGTTTCATTTTGTCGACTATTGCTATCCTTAATGCTTGTGTATTAACTCTATGACTCTATAACATTTTATTTAGCTTACTCCAATCGAGAGATATGCCATGAGATTCGTCGAGGAATCAGAGGGAGCGTTTTCCGCGGCACAGCTGGCCGCGGCAGAACGGGAACTCGAGCAGCAGAAGAAGGAGTGGGAATTGGACCGGCTGCGAGCGCTGCGCGAGGAGGAAGA